GTTACTTTGTTCTGTAACCAGTGATGGAGCTCCTTGCAGTTCCCTGTTCGTTCTGCTTCAAGGGTGCAAATGTTTTAATAAATCCATCTTTTCCCAACTGTTTACAGTATATATACATATATATCCCTTAATCAAATCAATATTTCTGGTTATGCTGACGTTAAGATTCTGGGAGCTATTGTTCAAAAATCAAACCAAACCAAATCCCAAAATGTTTCCCACCTCAGTCAGCTAGTATGGGAGTGTCTACATTACCTAATTATACCAGGTTAGTTGCACTTTAACTGACTGGTGGGGGAGCAGCAACAAGAAGATGGAACACAAACATAGCCAGAGATATTTTAAATGTTAGGCAATGAGTCTGTGGCAAGTAACATAAACTTGGAAAAGGCGGAATAAGCACCTAAATAGTGTGAAGGGGGGGCGCTCCCTCTTATCTAAGAAACCTATAGATATTTTGCTACTCTTATGCTTATTTTTTCCCCTTCTCCCTCCTCTGAATACACTTTCTATTCATTGCTCCCCTGGCTAATTAGAGGCAAACCCACATGCTGGTCTCCTTGATGATTGTCATCTGACTTACACGAAAGCCAGTGTGGTGTTCACCCTTTTGGGGCAACTACGTGTTGTGCCCTCACAAAGGCTCCAGTCGTGTTTTCCTCTCACTGCCACCAGTGGATTACCTCAATCCACAACATCAATGATGTTTGTCAAAATACTTGTCTTGCGAATGCAAACAACTTATTTATTGAAGTGAAGCCAATTTAATAATCACAGAAGTTCTTCAGATGAACATCGTACACAAGTAAATCATTAACAGGTCTCTCAATACATACTTTTCTCTTGCCATATAATTACAACCTTCTCTATTTATCTTAACCAGCTTTATTTCTATTAGTATCTGTTCCTTCTCTCTCTGACTAACCAGTCTCTCTCTCTCTCTGTCTCTGTCTCTGTCTCTGTCTCTCTCTCTCTCTCTCTCTGACTTTCTGCCCCCCCTCCAATCCTCTCATAGGCTCATGCAAATTAGATCATGACTATGAGTGGCATGAGTGATGTGGGGGGATCATCACATACCTCCCCCCTAAAAAAAGTTTGTTTCATGGGGGAAACCTTACAGTTAACCCTTATGAACAATGGAACATACAGGGAACATTACATCCAAAACACCATCATAACAATATGCTTACCAATTATGTTCTAAATCATATACCATATTTTACCATATAGCACATTATATTTACCATATACAATACCTTTACATATCTTATGCTAGTTTTCTCTCTATTACTATGTTTACCAGATCAAACTTATTACTTTAAACATTTAAAACAATCAATACAACTATAAACATTTGCATTAATCACATTAATACCAATCATATTACCTTTACATTTATACCACTACTCACCGTTATCTATCATTCTCCACTTCTCAGTTTATCATCATCTAAACTTTGCATTTTAATCATATTTCATAACTATACATAAACAGAACATTTAATACAACATTACAAACTTTATCCACCTGGCCTTTGAGGCAAGATATCACCCTCCATGCTCTGAGTTCCTTTTACGCTGCGGATTACACAGTCAAAGTCTTGCAGGTTCCGTGTCCATCTTGCAAGCTTACTGTTAGTGGATTTCACAGTTCATATCCATACCAGAGGGAAAGGGTTGGTGCAAAGGATGAATCTCCTTCCCCTAATGTAGGGCTTCAGTCTTTGCAGCATCCAAATAATTGATAGGCACGCCCTCATATTAGCAAACAAATGTCTCTCACCAGGTCAGAATCTCCTGCAAATCAGAGTCAATGGGTGTTGATTCCCTCTGTGGTCCGCTCAGCACAGCATGGCTCCCAGACTCACACTCAACACATCAATGTATACAATGAACTCCCAGTTGTAGTCCAGCACAACAAAGGCAGATCTTGTAGTCCGTGCCCTCTTCCGTCGACTGGCAGTCACCGGGCACACTGATGTCCCGTGGATTTCCTCCGCTCGCCTTTTCCGGGTGAAGCCTACTTTCTTTATGGCTCATGGCTTCATTTTTTCAGCTGGGGAAAGGATAGGCAGTTCTTTCTCCTCCAGAACATTTATGGATGCATCCTTTTTTGAGAGCTTATTGCTTATGCCTTCCTCCTCACCCACAAATTCACCCACAGGTACTTTCGTTGCAAAATCTTCCCTATGCGGGGAACCACTATCATGGGTCACCTTCAAATTCTCAGGTGAGTTTCTTTTAGGTGCCGTCTCTAACACTTGGCTTATATTGAGCTTTTCATCTGATTCTATTTCTTTATTCATTGATATGTCAGGTAGGGGTTTGCCTTGCAAGGTTTTAAGGCCTTTTGCATCTGCAGAGCTACCAGACTCTCTAGCCCTGCAGTGATGCTGCAGCAAATCTATAGGTTCTGACCCTGTCAAAAGCAATTTACTCCACTCAATGGTTCTCAGCATCACCACTTTGTCTTCAGGACAGAATGCTCTTTCTTGGGCCTTATACAAGCCTTTCTCCTTTCCAGAAGTACCTCCCAAGCTTGGCTCTGTTACTTCTACAGCCTCCTCCCTATATTTTACAAGGACAATTAATTCTTTGTGAAGTCCATCTCCACTCCTATGAGGTGTTGGTAAAACCAATCCATATATCAGGTTTTTAATCACCTATAAACCTCTCTGGGTGTTCAGATGTCAGGGGAATGAGACTCTCATTAGCTTTTGTAATACAATCATTTAAAGTACTATCTTCTGCTTATCAATACAGGAAGCATTATTAGGATTCTCCAATATGACCACCTCAGCCATTTCTTCTATCCCAGGGTTTTCCTCTGAACTGGGACATCATTCAGGATTTTCAGGGGTCAATGGAATTCCCTTAACTTGTGCAAAGCATTCACTTAAGGTACAATCTTCCTTTTGTCCTTCTTGTATGAAAGATGGATTATCAGGGTTTCTCATAGTAATCGGATCAGCTGTTTCTCTCTCTTCTCTTATTTCAAGAAGACTTCCATCATTTTCCTCAGTGGCTTTAAATTTGTCTTCCCTGAGAGCAATTTGCCACAAAAACACTCTGTACATGCTCAGCTAAATCCAGGCCTATTAAACATGGGGCAGGAATTTGATCAGATATGGCCACCTTCCAAACTCTGGACCATCGCTTATATCTCATTGGTATTTTTGCCATGGGCAACACGACTATTTCAGAACCAATCCCTTTAATAGAAATATTTTCATGGTCTAACACATTTTCCTTAGGGACTATATCAGGGTGACATACTGTAACTTGTGAACAAGAATCTTTTAGTGCTAGATACTTATTATTATCCACATAGATAACATCTCCTGAGCTTTGTAAAAGATTCGGATTACTTTCTATCAGAAAGCACTGGACAACCTAGCCACAGGAAGACCTTGGCTCTCTGACCCTTCTGTTACTTGTGTTGCTATAGCAACAGCTTCAACTGCTGCATTCTTAGCTGTTCCATGATGTTGTACACAAAACACCTTCTTTGGGGGACTAGAATTTCCACCCCTATGCTGATTACAATCCCTGGTCTTTTGAGTCCACACTGAGCTCACAAACGACCTTTCTCATCACATGCATAACATTGTTTTAAAAAGAGGCTTGACTAACTCAGCAATAGAAATCAGTTCCTTTTATTAAGAAGAAAGTACATACTTATGCCAAAAAGACCTAAAAAAGCCAGTAATGGAGGAAATTGATCCTTAAGAGGCACAAAGTTTACCTTAGGAAGTGGAGGGCAATGGAGACCCTGTGGCTCCAGTGGAACAGGAGACTGATGAGGGTGCCTCAGAGAGAGAAAGTGTTCTAAGCTCCCCAGATTTTGAAAAATGGAAACTATAACAAGAATTTAAATTGAAGGAGCTAGCTATGAGAAACCAATTAGAACTGGAAAAAGCCAGGGCTGAAGAGAAAGCTCAGGAAATACAGCTCAAGAAATTAGAAATTAGAGAAAAGCCAGAGGTGAAGAGAAAGCTAAGGAGCTAGAGATTAGAGCCGAAGCTGAGCAAGCGGTCAGGCAAAGGAAATTAAGACAAAGAGAAATAGCATTTGAGCAAGAAAATAGACAAAGGGAAATGAAATTTCAAATACAGATGAAAAAATTAGAGTTAGCTTCTCAAAATGTCAACAATAATAACAGTGTTAGTGAAGGAAATCTCTCACCCTAAGAATCTATTTTTCATCAAAGAACAAAAGGAAGACCCTACCTTAAATGAATTTTTTGCGCAAGCTAAGGAAATTCCACTAACCCCTGAAAATCCTAAACGATGCCCCAGTTTAGAGGAAAACCCTGAGATAGCAGAAATGGCTGAGGTGGTCATATTGGATAATCCTAATAATACTTCCTATATTGATGAGCAGAAGGAAGATAGTACTTTAAATGATTCTTTAATTTAAATTCCTGTTGTAATTTCCATTTTTAAAAAACTGAGGAGCTTAGAACACTTTCTCTCCCTGAGGCACCCTCATGAGTCTGCTCCTGTTCCACTGGACTTAAAGGGTCTCCATTTCCCTCCACTTCCTGAGGTAATCTTTGTGCCTCTTGAGGATCAATTACCTCCATTACTGTCTTTTTACTTATTATTTTGGGTGGCATAAGTATGTGTACTTATTTGATAAGAGCTGGTTTCTATTCTATTGCTGAGTTAGTCAAGCCTCTTTTTAAAACAATGTTATGCATGTGATGAGAAAGGTCGTTTGTGAGCTCAGTGTGAGACTCAAAAGACCAGGGATTGTAATCAGCATAGGGGTGGAAATTCTAGTCCCCCTAAGAAGGTGTTTTGTGTACAACATCATGGAACAGCTAAGAATGCAGCAGTTGAAGCTGTTGCCATAGCAACACAAGTAACAGAAGGGTCAGAGAGAGCCACCCTAACTGATTCCAATTCTCCCTCCTTTTTTTCTCTTTGGTTCTGCACTCCTGTCCTATCATTGGCTCCCACATCAGGATTCTAATGTGATGGACAGGCGTACATTTGGACTGTCCATCACAACAACCTTCAAAGCTCAGGAGAAATACTCCCTTTGTGGCAGAACCATTGGAAGGGGGCAGAAAAATGGTGTTGAGTCATGATTGCTCCACGCAAACAGATCATGAGCTTATTTGAAATAAGATATACCAGTGGACAATAGAGGTAACTGAACTTTATATACCAATATTAAGGTTATTTTAAATTTACTGGAACTATTTGATAAAAATCTACGCAGAAGAGGAAGGTGAGAGGGGTGAGGGGGAAGCTGAAGCAGAAGTGAGACATTAAAAGCAACAGACTAAGTTTACTTTGAAAGAGACTGCTTCACTCTTGCTGCTAAAGAAGAACTCCCAAGATTCCCCCCCCCCGACTGCTGAAGCCTTGCGTAGCAGCATTTATGCGACTATGGATTGTTCTGAGAGAAGGTGATAAAGAAATTCTGAGACACAGTCATTGTGCTTCTCTCGATACTTGTGTATTATGCTGGAGTAGACAGAGATTTTACAAATCTCTTTGCAACAGAGATTGAATGGTGCATTTACCCAACAGGAAAATTTTAAATCAACCATACTCCATGAATGAAATTTCAACTGCTTTCTCTAAACAAAAACTTATGAAATCTACAGGAAGTGATGGGATTAGTGCAGAGTATTATAGAAAGTTCAAAGAAATATTGATTTTACCCTTTAACAAATTACTTGATTAAATTCAACAGAAAAGGATACCAAATACATGGAAAGGAGCTATAATCAAAATAATTCATAAAGAAGACACTGATCCTGAAGAGATTCAAAACTACAGACCAATATCTCTTTTTAATGTGGACTATAAAATATATACAACTATTCTGGCTACACGATTGAAGAAGGTATTGATTAATGTAATTCATGAGGATCAAGCAGGATTTTTACCAAAAAGTTATTTAAGACAAAATGTAAGGAACCTTATAAACTTTCTGGAATATTATGAGGCACATTCAGAAAAATCAATAGCACTATGTTTTATTGATACAGAGAAAGCTTTTGGTAATATAAATTGGAACTTGATGATATTTTAAATAGAAGAAATGGAGGCGGGCCATATAAAAGCAATCTATTCCCATCAAAAAGCAAAGATAGAAAATTATCACAGTGGTTCTTAACGTGGGCGATAATGCCCCCCGGGGGCGATTTCATTTTTCAGGGGGGCGATAGAACGAAAAGGGGCGGTGTGGGGGCGCTGGAGCAGAAGGGGGCGGTAGGGGGGCCCTGGAGCAAGCCAAACCTGTTACGATGCTGCAGCCTTTTTACAGTGTGCATGAATATACAATTTCCTCCAATCTTAATTTAGTTTCAGAGTTTTCGTCTTGAAATTTTTAGTTCCTGCATTGTGGTTTGTTTTTATGCCCTTTTTATATTTATTTTTGCATCTTAAAATTCGCTTGCAACTAAATCATTAAATGTTTTGGGGGCATTTCATTTTCTTGGAATTGAATTTTGTTTTCAGGGGTCATTGGATTTAA